GGCATTGAAGTCGGGATAGGAAGTGAAACTGCTTTGTAGGTGGGTAGGCTGACTGCGGCATAAAAACCTTTTATAATCGTAAGGGCTATTAGATTCGTACCTCGTATTAACAAAGACACTCTTCAGAAAAAAATGAGTTGTGCTCATGCATTCTCAACTTATAGTAGTCAGGCGAGTAAGGGAGAAACGAAGTTGCCGCTTTAGAGATCCGCACGTTCAAAACACTCGCCCATGAGAGGGTGAAAACAGCCTTAAGTTAGGCATAGGAAGGTGAGGTTGGAGGGGAGAGGGTGAGAAGGAGTTAGTAGATCTATGTAGCTCTACACGACCGGATGTGGATTAGTGGTTGTTGTTGTTGTGAGGTGGACGCGGAGGTTTATTGAGCCATGCGCGCAGATCGTTCATCACCTTACTTCCTGATCTTGTCCATCCCACTTTTCCTCTCGTTCTTATCTTCGCCACCACTAAAATAAAACAGAACTCATCACCCAAAACTTCCCTTCAAACATTTTCTGATCACATTTTTTTTCTAACTCCTACTGCTGTCAACTCCTCACGTATAGGACTGCCTTAAAGGGAAACGTGTGGGCCTCTGGAGATCTATTGTCGGTCGTAAACAAGCGGACCGGCATTATCCTGTTTCCACAGATAAATTTTTCGGTTTTTCCTTTACTTCTCACTGTAAAGTCAGCAGACGTAGAAGCGGCGTTTTAAAATCTCGCTATTCTCTAAGGAGTCTGTACGTGACGAGATTTCTCGTGTTGGCGCCCCTGTACCACAACCTGCCTGCGTGCATGTATTCGTGATCAGGCGGCCTAGTGGACTCTGTCCGACCTCCGTCCCGGGGTGACATGGTTCAGAAACAGGGTTTTGCGCACTTCCAGCACCTGCTACAGTGGTTGTTTTCTTTACAAATAATTCTTCCTTTGGGCCATGGACCAACACGAGGCCCTCCCTTGCTGGAAACGACCCCGATACTGGTGTCGGTAACGTGTCGGAAAGTTCTGCGCAGGTTTATTTCATGTTTGTGTGTACTTCTAATTTCTTGCTACTCTCATGGAATCTCCTAACTAATGCTACTTTTTTGTATGACTTTTTGTGACGACTTCTT